CCAAGATTAAGAGGAGTTGGGAAGGGCTTCCTGCACACCTCGCTCTGAGCCCAACAAGAATTATTTCTTACCAACCAGGCAGAGAATCCATTAGTTCCCTTTTCAACTCCACCTGGCTGCCACAAGTCCCACCTAAAACCCCATCTTCTACAGCTGTGTGTGTGTGTGTGTGTGTCTGTGTATGTGTGTGGTAGTGGGGGGCTGCTGTGCTGCTGTTAGGATTGGATTGAAAAAGTGTGTGTGTGGGGGGTAGGTTTTGAAAGCCTTGGAACACCAAATAGAGGATTTTATCATTTATCCTGGAGGTGATAGAGAGCCCCTGGAGGTCAGTGAATTCGTGTGTGTTGTGTGTGTGTGTGTGTGTGTGTGTGTGTGTTGTGTGTGTGTGTGTGATAACTGTATCTGTGCTTGAGGAAAATCCCTTCAGTGGCTGAATGGAGGATGGCCTGGAGTGGGAGAAACTATAGGCAGGCAGGCGCCCCAGCGGCCACTGCAATGGTCCAGGTAGGAGGAGACGGAGCCCTGTGGCAAGGGGTGGCAGTGTCAGAGGGCTGGAAGGATGGTGTTGCCCTCAACAATAAGGGGCAGTTTGGAAGTGGGAAGGGCTTGGAGGAAAGATGATGAGTTCAGTTTTGGTCAGGCTGAGGTTAAGAAGTCTACTGGACATCTGGTTCAAGATGTCTAATAGGCATTTGGAGGTGGGAGACTGGAGGTCAGCAGAGAGCTCAGAGCTGGACAAAGAGATTTGAGAATCATGAGAATTACAAGGCCTTCGGCAAATGCATCCAAATCACCGACAAAGAGCAATGCAGTCATCCTCCTATCCTGAGCCTCGGGGCTGCACAGCCATAAATAGCCTGGGGTGATGAAAGCACAGAACTAGATGTCAAAAGACCTAGGCAGAATCCTGGCTCTACCTCTAACTCGGTGACCTTAGACAAGTCACTTCCCTCTGGGGCAGAATCATTCAAGGCTCCTCCTAAACCATCTGGCTCAGAAGGGTTTACCTCACCTGAAGCAGGGACACATAGACAGGTCTGGAAAGAGCTGTGGATAAGCTGGGCTCTCTTCGCTCCCTTCAAGAGGAAACCCTACCACAAATGCTTGTCATGAGGGGCTGAGTGCCTTCCCCAGGATCACACAGCTAATAAATATCGGAGGTGGGCAGGATTCGAACTAAGGTCTGACCAAGTCCAGCCTTTCCTGTGGTACAGTAGATGGAGCGCTGGAAACCCTGAGGTCAAATCCTGTCCCAGACCCTTACTAACTGTGTGACTGGGCAAGTCGATTTACCTCTGCCTGCCTCAGTTTCCTCATCTGTAAAATGGGGATCCTAATAGCACCCAGGTCCCAGGGTTTTTGTGAGGATCAAATGAGATAAATAGCATTTGTAAAGTGCTTTACAAACCTTAAAGCTTTACATGAATGTTAGCTGAAATTATTACTATTAGAGCCGTAATCTCTGACAATGACTGAGCTAGCCATGAAATTTTTATCTAAGCTCAAGCACTGAGTTTCCACCAGTCATACGACCTTAATTGTGGCAACCTGGCTTCCAAACCCTTCTCAGAGCCTGTAAGTAGGCTCCTATTTTCAACAATTCCTGGGGGCACTTTTTGTCTCTTTCCTACACCCCCCCCCATTCCCCAGCCGCCTTCTTTGCTAAGTCCATAAAGGACCGAGAGGGAACAATGCAGCTCAGGCACTGCGAAGCTCCAGAGTCTCTAACCCTGCTTTATTAGCCGGGGCACACACCAATGATACGCTCATTTCTGGTCCTATAAACCACAAACACGTTTAAGAGACGAGAGTCTTTTCTGTTGGGAGAAAACAAAGAAGGCAAATAGTCACAATGACCAATAGCTCTTGCAAACCTGGCTAAACATTCCTGAGCTGTCCCTGCCATCAATCCACCATCGCAGATTTAATAAAGGAGAATTCTAGGACTCAAGCAAGAGAAAAAGCAAAATGCCTGACAGAAATGAAAAAAGGGAGATGAAAGCCGGGGGGACTTCTATTATTGTGAAATACAAATGACTGACAGACCCATTTTATTGACTAGGCAGACAGCTAAACAAACAAACAAATTAGCACAATTCTCCTGTGTCACTAAGGGACAGTAAGGGAGGAGAAAGGTTTTGGGGGCGCTCCCATCCCTTGGACACCTATGCTTGTAGGGGTCCAATCTCTTTCAGCCCTCTCCAGAAAACCACGCAAGGGCACCTGCTTTACTGCAATTGTAGAGTCAATGAAGTTCCTGCATTCTGCACGCTTAGCCTCAGGACATTAAAACACACACACACACACACACAACCCATGGGGAACAAAAAACAGCAGTCAGAAGAGCCCCCCAACCTGCTCCAAATCGGAAGAATCAAGTGCCATCGACCAGGCTGATGAGCTTTAACATCTGACTGTCCAGTGGATGGGCTTGAAAAAGAAAAAGCAGCTCCCCCTCCCCCATCCCAGCTCGCCGGCCACTTTTCAGATTCCCTTTCCTGTCCCCCTCCTAGTGGAGGGACCCGTAAAGACAGAGGACCTGGAAGGGAGGGCCCGGGACAAAGCTTTACAAAGCGCCCACGGTGACAGGCTGGGCTAGCCACGGGCCGCTGCAAAGGTCTCCGAGCCTCTCCCGACCTCCGGAAGAATCAAAGCGGCATGAATGTCAGGTGGGGCCCCAGGCTGAAGGGAGAGGCCGAGATGGCAGGCGGATCCTGGGGAGGGCTGCGGAGGGGAGAAGAGAGGGGGAAGGGGAGGTGGCAGAGGGAGGAGACCGCCCCGAAGAAAAGCTCTTCCACCAGCACCAGCCTCAGCCGACAGCTTACTCCCCCTGCACCCCACAAAGAAAGAAAAGGAGTCAGCGCTCAACTGCACGTACGAGCAAGCACTTAAGAAAGCTAAAGAAAAGAAGGGGGGAGGTCTGTCGCCACACCCCTGCCCGAAGATGTGCCCCGCCCCAGTCCCAGCCCCCCTCCCCCCTGGGGTGAGCTTGTCAAATCCAAGGGCTTGGGACAGGTAGCTTAGATCTGGAGAAGAGGTGGCAAATGGAGTGGAGGGGGGAGGGGAGGGGGAAGCCGCGCCTCCCCCCCCCCCCCCCCCGCTCTGCCGTGCCCTGCCCATTCTGCCGAGTCCTCCGGCACATTCGAAGTCCAGGATCTCCCTTCAAACTTCGGGAGCCCGGCCCGGGGCGGCAGGCTGCTCTCTAACTACCGCCCCTGGGAACACAGGAGAAAGAAAGGAAGGAGGGGCCGGCGCCGTGCACCTAAACGGCTCACCTCCCTGCGGAGGGGGGAGCTCAAAGGAGCTGGGGCACCCTCCCTCTCCTCCCAACAGTCTGTCCCGGGCCCCCTGGGAGGCTCTATCTGGTCGTGGAAGCCCCACGGAAGGGCGAAGCAGGGAGGGCATCGTCTCCCACCTCCCTGCTAGTCCCCAGCGCCCTCCTCGCACTTGGAGGGTCCATTTCGAGGAGAATGAGCAGGGTTTCACCCCCCCCCACTGGTTCTCAGTCCCATCCCCTGGACCTGGAAGGTCCATCTCCAGGAAGAAAATGGGCTCGGCCGACCTGGGCATCGTCCTCCCGGAGTAGCCCCTATCCCATACCTATCGCGAAGTAGACGAGCTCCAAGGAGTCTGGCATCACCCCCTCCAGCCAGTCCCCAACCCCCTCCACAGATAATTCCCCCCTCCCCCACCCTTCCCCCCTCTCCGAAGCTGAGGAGGGGCATCTAAAAGAGTCCGGCACCATTCTCTTCCTGTCCTAACCCCCTAGGAGAGGTGGTGTCCGTCTCGATGCAGAAAAAGAGCTCGGAGGAGCTGGGCATCATACACCCCGAGCCCCCTCCCCAGAGCACAGTGAAGGGGGAGAGCATCTCGATGCAGAAGATGAGCTCATCGTAGCAGGGCACTCGCTTCCCTTGTCCCTGCACCTGGGAGTGGGGGGTGTCCTCGAACGTATAAGATGAACTGAACGAACTCTTAGGAGCAGCAGGGCATCCTCCCCGCCTCCGCGCAGCCAGTCCCCCTCCCCTCTGCAGCCCGCTTTCTCCCAACCTCCCCCCACCCCAGTCCATCTCAACGTAAAAGATGAGCTCAGGGAAACAGGGTATCCTTCCCCCTCCCCCTCTGCAGCCCGCTCCCCCTGCACCTGGGGGGGGTCCGTCTCGGCGTAGATGAGCTCATCGGAGCACAGCATCCTACTCCCCTCCCTTTCCAGCTAGTCTCCCCCCCCTCCACAGCCCCCTCCCCGAACTTGGCGGGGGGGTGGCTGTTCATCTCAGTCCAGAAGGGCAGATTGTGCATCTTTGCCCGCCCCCCGTCTTCGTCCCCGTCCCAATCTCTCCCCTGTTCCCTGCACCTGGGGGGGGGTCCCTCTTGATGTAGAAGATGAGCTCAGCGGAGCACTGCACCCTCCCTCCCCTCCCCTTCCAGCCGGTCCCTCCCTCCAGCCCCCTCCCCGCACCTGGGGGAGGGAGGTCCATCTCGACCTAGAAGACGAGCTGGGCAGAGCAAGACATCATCGTTCTCGTCCCCCTCCCCGCACCTGAAGGGGGGGGTCCATCTCGATGTCGAAGATGAGCTCAGCGGAGTAGGACATTGTCCCCTCCCCCTCCAGCTGGTCCCCATCCCCCATTCTCTTCCCCTCACCTGAGGGGGGGTCCACTTCGCTGTATTAGATGAGCTCGGCAGAGCAGGACGTTGTCCTCCCCCCAGCAGCCCCCTCCCTCTCCCCCCGCACAGTACTCCGTCCCTCTCCCTCCTCCCCTCCGCACCTGGGGGGGAGGTTCCCATCTCGATTTTTTAGAAGAGCTCGGCGGGGCAGGACGTCGTCCCCTCTTTCCCTCCCGCTGTCCCCCTCCCCCTCTAGCCCCCGGTCCCCCCCCAGCACCTGGGGGGTCCATCTCGCTGCATTCGAGGAGCTCGGCGTGGCAGGACGACGTCCCCTCTCCTCCTGCAGGCAGCCCCCAGCCCTCCTCCCCCTGCACGGTCCCCCTCCCCCGCACCTGGGGGGTCCATCTCGATGTAGAAGATGAGCTCAGTGGAGTAGGGCATGGTCACGTCCCTCCAGTCTTCGCCTTCGCCGCCCTCGCCGCCTTCGCCTTCGCCTTCCCCGCCGTCCTCGCGCTCCATGCCCCACGGCGGCGTATACATTGCTGTCCCGCGGGGGCTGGCCGCGCTCCTCCGCTCCCCACACGTACGCCACCCCGGGCTCGCCGCCCGCTCTCGGCCCCGGCCCGGCTGCAGTCCCAGCTCCGGCTCCGGCTCCGGCCACTAGAGTTTCATTTTAACGGCGCGGAGGGAGGGGAGGGAGGGGAGTGGACAGCCCGCTCGCCCTCCCCCCCAGCCCGACCCCGCCTCCCGCCTAGGAAAGACCAATGCCGCACCGGCCAGGGGGAAGGGGGGGAGGGGAGCACGGGCTGCCCCTGTCTCAAACTGCAGGAGCCCTTCAAGAGGGCCACATGAGAAATTCGAAAAGAAGAATATGTACGGAGACGACCGCAAAAAGTGGGGCTTTCCAGGCCGGTCTCCCCTATCCGTCACCTCCTCCCAAGGCTCTCCCCCCCCTCAGTGGAGTATGGTGGTACGACCCAAGAACTGGCTAGGCGCCGGGCGCTGGGGCCGGGAGACTGTGAGCCGCGGGGGGAGGGCGGGGGCAGAGCGGAGCGCTGCGATTGGTAGAGGCCGGTTGCGGGAGCCGGGAGCCTGCGTCTTTTGTCTGCCTTGCTCCAGGAGAGGCCGCGCGAGGCGGCTGCGCGCCCGGTAGAAGGCCAATCAAAAGGCGGCCGGCGCCGGCCGGTGTGTAGCTGATTGGTCGGGATCCCAGTTACCAAGCGGGACAAAGGCAGAAGGGGCGGGCCCTGGGAGGGGGCGGGGGAGGGGGCCCGGCCCTGAGCGCGCGGCTCTGCTCGGCTGGCTCAGCCCGACGCGCGGGGGGCTCCGGCTGCCCGGAGACAGCGAGCAGCAGAGGGGGCGGGGCCGGCCGGAGCCGGGCCTGGCCCGGCGGGGCGGGGCGGAGCTAGCGGAGGAGCAGAGCTCCTGCTAGTGCTGCCTGGAGACAGAGTCTGAGGGGCGGGAGCGGGAGAAGCAGCACCCCCCCCATGTACACACAGACATGTACGTGCATGTACATCCCTGTGCACTGCACACACATGATACACGCATGTGCACGTCCGCAGGCCACCATGATGACACATTGTGCATTGTCCAGGCACCCTTCTGCTGTGCACTGCACACGCATGACACAAGCCTGAACATGGGTTCCCAAACACCCACACACCGTGCCCATACGTTGTACATTGTCCAGACATGTCCCCCCAGCTGTGTGCTGACACATGTGCACGAACACACATCCACACACCATGCCATTACCAGTGTGCGTTGTCCAGACACCCCTGCCCAGCTGAGCACAGGCACCTGCACAGTTCTTCCTGTACAGGTACGCAGGCGCACGCCCAATACAGACAAGCATGTGTGCAGATACACGTACAGTCCACATCGGTGAGTATACATATCACAACTCCATACTACACGTGTGCAGATACAGCCAGCACCAAGAGCATATACATGGTATACACACAAGAACAACACACGCGCACACACACACACACACACCAGCCCACAAGGTCTCTTGTCTCTGGTGCCCTGGGACACTTCCTGGACCTAAGTGTCAGAACTTCGAGTACCAGCCCGCCCTCGTTCTGGAGGAGGCCCGGAATGAGAAGCGGGCTGAGCTCTCGAGGCTCCCAGCTCAGCTCTGGACAGAAGTCCTGAACTGGCTGCGTGTTCCGAAAGGCTTCCCAACTGGAGCTGTCCACTAGCTGGGAAAGAGGGGTGGCCTGAACCGAGAGCCTCTATCACTTTTCCTTAAGCCCTGGGCTCCCCACTGCGGGTTCCCAAAACCAGAAAAGGCCTTGGAGGAGACACACACACACACACACACACACACACACACACACAGAGACAGAGACAGAGACAGACAGACAGACAGACATAGAGAGACAGAGACAGAAAGAGCGAGAAACAGAGACAGTGAGAGAGATAATGAGAGACAGACACACACACACACACACACACACACACACACACACACACACACACACACTCACACACACAGAGACTGACTCGGCCCGGCCCAACCCAGCCTGGCCCAGCGCAGCGCAGCAGAGACGTGGACTTTGAGAGCTAAGCCTCTGGCAGGGTACCTTGGGCCCTCGCCCCCCACCCCAGCGACTCTAGTTAATACTCCAGGCACGCCCAAGTGTCCCAGTCTCAATGGATCAGGGGCGGCCCAGAGGCAGGGGCATAATCAGAACGGCTAGCGGGGCAAGGCCCCCGCGTATAGTATGTGTACCGTGTCCGGAATTGAGACTGGGGCCCCCAGAACAATACCGTGCGAGGAGGCGAGAACGACTATATTTCCTCTTTCCCCAAGAGTAACAAAGCCCATTGTGCTCCTGTTGGCAACCGCCGCCGGCCTGCAGGCCGCCGCGCCTCCTGCCCCTCCTACCCTGTGCTGCTGGGCAATGTTGAGGTGGGGGGGGCACGGTTGCGCCCCCCGCCATTCTTCTCCCCCACTTTGCCTTCTGTCCTGACTAGCCACTGAGCTTCTACTACTGGGGGGAGAGGGGTGCTCAGGGATGAGGGGGAATGGGGGGAGGGGAGTGTTAAGAAACGATGGACCGAAGTAGCAGGGCTCTGAGATCCAGACGGGAGCCGCGGTCTCTCGGCTTTGGCCGTGTCCCTGGCAGAGGTCCTAGCCTGCCCTGATGGCCGCTTGCCTCCCCGCCAGTCCCCCGAGCCAGGCTTGGGCAGCACACCAGGAAGAACATGCCGGTGGGGTTGTTTTCTCCCAACTATGTCCCTGTTCACTCCGGGAAAATGAGGGAGAAATAAAAAAGCGGGCAAAAGAGAAGTTCCAGGCAGCTGCCGGCCCCTTGTCTCTGTTTCCTGGTTCCCCTATCTCCACCCCACTAAACAAAGGCTCTCCCTGGGAGCTGAGCCCTTTCCAAGTTGGGGAATCCAGAAGGCTTGGGTTCAAACCTTAGCTCTGCAGCAGGGTCCCTAGGTGACCTCGTACAAGTTCCTTCCCCCCCTCCTTAAAGTGAGGGGGCGGGACTTTGACTAAATGCTCTCTGAGGGCTCTTTCAACCCTCATTCCTTTGACTGAGGGAGCAGAAGGCACTTGGGCTGATACGTTGGCTAACGGAAAAGCCCTTCGGAAGCGACTGTCCATGCTTGCCTCCCCTCTAGAAAGGCTCTCTCAATTAGGTGGAGGCCTGCAGTCAAGAAGACTTGAGTTCAAATTCTGCCATAGACACTAGCTGTGTGATCTTGGGCAAGTAATTTAACCTCTGTCTGCCTCAATTTCTGCATCTGTAAAATAGGGATGATAGTAATAGCACCTACTTCATAAGATTGTTATGAACATCAAAGAAAATAATTAATTGTAAACCATTTAACATAGTCCCTGTCACATAAGGGATGCTTAATAAATATTTATTCCCCTTTCCTCCTCCTTCTGACCCTAAGTCCAGGTCCAGGAGACCTCTGGGGAACACAAAAGGGATTGGTATCAATTTGGGAAATATTGTTCATGGCTGGCATAGAATACTTTTGCTGATGATGAAGGGGATGGTTTTAGAAAAACAGAAGACTTGTATGAACTGATGCAAAGTGGAGTGAGCAGAAACAGGAGAACGATTTATATAATGACAACAACAAGTAAAGTTTTGGAAAGACTTTAGGAATTCTGTTCAGTGCAGTGACCAGTTGTGATTCCAGAGGACCAATGAAAGAGGCTACCCAGCCCCTGAAGGTGGTAGACTCAGGGGGCAGAATGAGACACACATTTTTGGATAGGGTTAAGGCTGGAATTTGTTTTGCTTGACAAGGTGTATTTGTTGCAACATTTTTCTCTTTTTCAGTGGGGTGGGGAGGTTGGGTGGGGGAGGAGCTTCCTTCTGAGACAGGATTGAGTGAGTGCCCTAACCTGCTGACCAGTCACAGCCCTGGAAAGAGGCTACCTCCTTGCTTTGGGCTGACAGATAAAAGTCAGGTTCTCAGTGCTTGTCCCTAAGCAGCCCCAGGCACTTTTGGCAAAGGTAGGGACTGTTAGCTCGGGTGTTCTGGCTCCCCTCCATGTTAGGGAATTATATTTGGCCTGGGCGTGGAGCAAATTCAGCTCCTAGAGTGCCAAGTCCTGGGTCACAAGGCTGGTAATTTGGGAACTGCCTCTCACTCCCTCCATTCCCCCTCTCCCTTCCCCTCCTTTCCTCCCTCCCTCTCTTCCTCCTCCCTCTTTCTTTTCCTCCTTCCCCTCTCCCTGTCTCTCTTTTTCCTTCTCTGTCTCTCCCTTCCTCCTCTTCCCTCCCCTTCTTACCCCTCCTTCCCCACTTCTTTCGCCTTCATTTACCTATTTGTACCATAGAATGATATTACTGCTGACCATATAGTCTTTTGAAAGTTAAAAAATGTACAACTTAAGTCCAAAGAATGAATAACAGCATCTTCCTGTAATTCCACGGGGATAAACTGCCCTTTACTGGCCTGGCCTATCATCTGGGCTTTCTGCGAAAAGTTAAGCAATTGCAGCATTTCCCTCCCCCTTCCCACTCTCCCACATCCCTCCCCCAGTGGCCTGCTCACCTTCAGAGATGGTTGGGATGTGCCCACTGGGTTCTGCTGCATTCCCCCCATGCTTTCTGGGCTCCCCCCAAATCAGCCAGAAGGGTCTGGCCATTTTAAATACAGTTTATTTGTAAGATTTGCTAGATAGAAGCACGCATCATACCATTGATTTTGGTCTAGAGTTGGAAGGAACCTCATTGGGCATCTGGTTCAAACCCTTCATTTTAAAGACGGAAAAGCTGAAGCCTGGGGTTGTTAAGGGAGCTCAGACTTCCCCAGGCAATGGAGCCACAGAGGCCTGATTCAAGCTCAGGTCTGTGGATCCCGGACTCAGGGCTTTTTCCATTGCACCGCCACTTCTCTTCTTTTGTTTGGGGCTTCTCCATGTCATTGCTTTTGAAGACCACAGCTGGTTCTAGAGTCCTGTGTCCCCCCACTCCAGCCCCTTTTCTCTTCTGCACAGCCCAGGCCCCTACCCCAGCCTCTCTTGGGCAGACTGAGTCTGTGGGGTACAATGAGCCCACTGGTTCTGGGAAAGGCTCTCCAAATGAGAAGGACCTGCAGATGAAGCTCCTTGGACATCATTTAAGGCTTTCAGTCATGAAGATGCTAACAGTGGATGGCTAAAGATCCCTTTTCCAGGGCCAGAGAAGGGATTGGGATACTCTGAGTTAA